GGCTTTCCACGCTGCGCCTACCACCCCTCGTCCACGTCTGAGGCCTCATTTCCCCCTGCTTGACTCTCTCCCCACCCCCTTCTCCTCCCTCTTGAGCGTCGGTGCGGCTCAGCATTGGGCTGCTCACCCACAAGGATAGTCTTGCCGTCTACTGTGGCCGTGTGCTTGTACAGGGTTAGAGCGTATGTGGACAGCTGCTGTGGCTGACTGCACTTAGGTTAAGAAGCAAAGATGAATAAAAAGAGAGGTAAGAAAGGTGCTGAGTTGGGGGGAGCGAGTTGTTGGTGTGATGGAACAGGCCCTCTTTCTTCTTTTTTATAAAGGGTTATTTACACTTTAAACCGAATAAATATGGCAGACAAAGGATCAGCTTCAAACACACCCAATACAAGCACCATGGAAAGGTGAGGGGTGGGAGAGGCTGGGATTGCGTCCTGGCCATTCAAGTCCGAGGGAAAACATGGGATGGAATTTTACAAGCATCACGTAGTTGGCAAACGCAACTGCGGATGCCCCAGCTCCTTACGATGGGGCCCGTGCAGGCCAGAGAGGAAACCCAGCCACAGGAAGCAACATGACAGTTCCAGGGAGGAAAGCCTCCATAAGCCAGACAGCTGACAAGCGTTTACACACTGGAGTTTGCCTGCGTATGAAACGCTAACAACAACACTTTCTGAAGCTGCAAGATGCCGCATGGTTTAATCATCAGAGCTGGGATGACGCAGGTGGGTGGGTGCAAAGGAGAGCCTGGCAGAAGGTGAAGGAAGATATATTTAGACTCTGCTTTGGGGGTTTGGGGCTCAGGGCATGGAGCAGAAGGCTCCAGGGCTCTTCTCCCCCATGGTTCTCGGTGGGTTCACTTGGGAAGCTTTTAAAAACCACCCCAGTTGCCAGGGAAGGTCTCATTCCAAACCTGCACACGTGACAATTCATGGAAAGAGGGTGGGGCTGGCAGTTCCTATTTTACAAAGTTGATTCACACCAGAGAATTTCTAAATATTACAGAGCCCAAGCTTTGAAATCAGAGATGTTAGGGTTAGGGACTTGTCCAAAGCCAGAGCTGCTAAGAAGGAAGTGGTGGGGTTTGAGTTGAGGCGTTTGACTAGGTGCTATCAGCCACTCTCCTGCCTTCCTAATAATGTAAAGCAAATCCAAATGTAAGTTTCAAAATATTCAGCATCAATTACATGTGATGCCATGTGGGTCAGCTGGTGAGAAACCAGTATGAATGAATGCATTCACTCACTTATCCCTCCTCCCTGGTCCCCTGGAGCAAAGAGGTGAGCAGTGAGGGTGAGCTGACATGAGGGTGGGAAGGGCCACAGGAACAAGGAGCATTTCAAACCTTGAAGGATACAATCCATCCATGAGAAATCTCTCCATAAGTCTGTAAGGAGAACGTGCAAGGTGGTCAGGTGCATCCCCCAACGCTCCTTGTCCCTCTGCACCACCCAACAGATGAAACTTGAAAGCCAGCTGTGGCTTCGTCCCTCCCACTCCTGTCACAGCTACACAGCTCCCTTTCAAGGACAATGCCCAAGGACCGCCACCCACCCTCTTCCTGACTCTCCTTAGGTTCCTGACACCCTTCAGCTGCAACACCGACCCAGCACCTACAGACACTTTCCCTGCAGGTAGGGGCCTCAGCTTGCTCCTTTTAGGGAGTAAACAAACTACGGTACCTCTATACCATGAACCACTCAGCAATCAAAAGGAACAAACTATGATATACCCAACAATTTGCATGGATCTTAAGGGTGTTAACGCTCAGTGAAAAAGGTCACATGCTGTAGAACACCGCCAAGATGACACAATTATGGAGATGAAGCGTATGAGCGGTGACAGGGGTCAGGCATGGTAGGGGTGAAGTGGAGTGGGTGTGACTCTAAGTGGGTGGCATGACCAAGACCTCTGCAGTGATGGAACAGTTGTGTATCTTGCTTCCAGTGATGCTTATACAACCTACACGCATGACAAAATGACACAGCATCATAGACATGCATTGAACTAATGTCAGTTTCCTGACTTTGACATTGTACTGCAGTTATGTGAGGTGTAACCTTTGGGGAAACTAGGTGAAGGGCACACAGGTACTCTCTTTTCAACTTCCTGTAAATACGTTATTTCAAAATGAGAAGAAAAAAAAACACATACTAGGAGAAGATATGTGCAATACCAGTTATGGACAAAGAGTTAACACACAGAAATTATGAACAGCTCTGATACATGAATAACAACCTGTGTACTAAGAATATGAACAGGCAATCCACGGATGAATGGCTAACAAACATATGAAAAGATGCTTAATACGTTCACTTAATGATTTCAATGTAAATTAATTATTTTAATGCGAATTAAAATAAAATGAAGTAGCACACACACCCTTAGATTAGCAAAATTGAAAAAGTCATATGACACCAGATGTTGGAGATTTTGTGGAGCGACAGAAACTCTTGTAGTGTCCTGGTAGGAGTGCAAATGTGATATAACTATTTTGAAGAGCAATTGGATTATCTCAGACTTTGAGTTAATCCTAAAACTTGGCAATTTCACCCCAAATCTAACAGGATGTGTGCCCAGGATAAGAAGAACAAAAATATTCACCGCAGTATTGTGTCTAATATAAAAATGATAATTTCATAAATGTTCTTCAATAGAAGAATGGACAAATACATTTAGTACAATTTTTTTTTAATTTACTGAGTGATTGTTATTTGCCAGATACTGTGCTAAGCACCATGAGATAACACTGAACAAAACAGATTGAAAATCCGTGTCTTCATTCAGTTTCCACTCTAGTGAGTGAAGATAGACAAACACGCTCTTAAAATATACACCGCCACATGTATGGTCACTGGATTTGAAACAAGAGCATTACTGCAATTCAGCGAGGTAAAGGATTGTTTTATAAATTAATGTTGTGGAAACAACTGGATATCTGTGTAGGGAAAAATGAACCTTGAGGACATTACACAAAACGGTGGAGTAGGAAGTTCTAAGGATCACTCCCTTAACTGAAACAATGAGTAAACTAGAAAAAACTATCAGAATCAACTATTTCAGGCCTCTAGAACCTGACCGCACACAACCAGGAGAGTGCTGGATGAAAGGGGAGGGCTGACCCAGTGCAGAACAACGTGCGCGCGCACCAGCACCACCGCCTGCTCCTCAGCCCACGGCAGCTGTATGGTGCCCTGTTTCCAAGCGTCTGGCTGAGCAGCAGAGATACTGTCCTTGGAAAGTCAGGCCTGCATGTTTTGATCAGTTGGGTAGATCCCCGAGGAACAGGCCTCAGCTCTCTCAGGCTTCAGAGGCTTCCCCTGATGGCATCTATTGGGAATTTAAAGGGATAGGAATACCTCTTTTTTTTCTTTCCCTTTTTTTGGAGCCGAACACTTAAAAAAATTGGAGGGGGGATTAGATTTTTATTTATTTATTTATAATAGAGGTACTGGGGGTTGAACCCAGGACCTTGTGCATGCAAAGCACGTGCTCTACCACTGAGCTATACCCTCCCCCCTGGAGCTGAATATTAAAGGAAACCTTTGTCAGAT